TAAGCTTGTAAGTATGTAATCATTATGCTAGTGGGAGCACAATTATTATGTTGAGTGTTGCAAGTTAGCAATGCTATATATAGGAAACAAAGTTTTAATTTGCAAAGTTGCAGAGTTTGAAAAGTTATCTCGCTATAGTAGGATTTAAGGGAGAAGATTCTCATACTTAATTTCAAATCTAAAAGCTAAAATTGAAATTTTAATGGAACTTAGTCATGGATATATGTGAATGTCGTGTTGAAATGTTTCAACATTTGAAATTCTGTATATGGAAATATTATAGCAAGATACTGGTCTAGTATCATGTCTTTATGTGACTCATTATGAATCGTATCCCATATGCTTCGGGCATAGGATCGATTGCATATGCTATAATATTTGTGTGTTCTGATTTTAAGAATCTTTGTGTGAGTTAGAAGGATATTCAAGGAATGCTCTTTGAATGTGAGACTTCAATTCCAGGGAATTGTCTAATAACTTTCTCGAACAAATTCTAGTAGTGGCAAGAATCTGGTATTCTTACACTTGTGATTAGGATTAGGAAATTATGAAAGGAGCATCTTTGGGAAATATGTTCAATTTATCTATTTCATGAAGGAAAGGACCATAGATGAACATAGTATGCATGCTTGGAGCATGGGATAACTATTGTTTTAATTCAAGTATTAAGTTGATTGTTTGAAACATTATACACTGAATAAGTTCTAATCAATATGGTGATTAAATAATAAGTGTTTTATTTATATTCAAAAGTTTTGAGACCATATTTGATTGTTTAATTCTTGTGTTTCACTTAACATGTTTTACTTCACAAATAATAAGATTATTCAAACATCCACAGTTGATCAAACTTTTGAAGTAACTAATGAGGCAAGACTGTCATGAATCGAACTGTAGATTGTCTAGTTGCTTAGACGTGACACAAGTTTGCTGCAGTGTTCATGAGTACTCCTAAAATAAGAATTTGAGTATTAGATTAAACCCACGCTCATTTGAATCACTCCATTGAGTTTATCACGAGTGATTGTGAGACGATAATATCTTATATTCTTCCAACGGAGACATATGAGTTGTAGTTTACAAGTTGGTTGCACATTGATGATACGTAAACACACCAGTAACTTGGTGTTATAAAATGTATTGTTGTATGTGATTTGATGAGTAAATTGAGGAAGCATATGAGTTGAAGTTTATCTGTTCCTTTTACCCTAAGAGGGATAAAAGCGATATTTGTGGGCCCCTCTATGATTTAGTGATGACACCTGAAGCGCTTGGCCAAGCCTGGACTAAGTTGATGTGTTCAATTATAGTAATTCATCATAAATTTGAAATTCGGAAACAACACATGGATAGAAATAATGATTATAAATCCATGTCTCATGTCCATACGATAAATCCATGTCTCATGTCCAATTCTCATCTGAAGGACGTGTTACTGATAAGACCAGAGTTTGACAACGGATTTTGAGAGCTACGATTGCTAATCAGATTTTGAAGCTACATTGGCAGTTATAGTTATAAGACTTATCGAAGTGGGAGACTATTGGATTAGGTGTCTAAGCTGATAACTATAATTGGTATGTACTTGACCCGATACTAGTATGGTCCTTTTTGGTTGCCTTCATCGGAGCAATTTGATAAGATGGATATTTGAGAAATCGGTTATTTGTGATTTATTAATATATTATATGAATAATATATTAATTGTGAAATCATATTATTTAATTGGTATTGTTCAAGAATTAATTTGGTATTAATTTAGTGATAAAAAAAGATTGATTATATTTTCAGGGACTGATTAGGTAAATCAGTAATACTTATAGTTTGGGCTAATGGTCCATGTTGATTAGGGATGGGCTAAATCTATGTGAGATTCCATGAAGAGTTAGTCCAAAGGGCCTATCATATGGATCGTTGGAATACCTAAAGGTTTAGGTAAATTAGGGTTCTATGTATGAAACCCTAGGAATTCCAGATTATAAATGTAACCCCTAGCTTCCCAAAATCGTGCACTTTATTCCATAGAGAAACCCTAGCTGTTTTTGGTGATTCATAACCTCTCTCTCATTGTTCTCCATTTTCTTTTGGTGTTTGTGAATTATTATAGGTATCACACTTGAGTTACTAAGCTCTTGAAAGGCCAAGAACTACAAGCTACAAAAAAGAGGTATTCATCTAACTAGTTTTTATGTTGTATACCTCCAATTGCATGCTAGCTAGGGTATATGATTAGGATAAATGAAATTGAATGTATAAATTGAGAAAACTTAGATCCAAAGCATTACGCTTGTATGTGCACCGTAGGGATGTTATTGTACTCAAAACCCAACAGTTTTCTCCCTCTAGACTTAGTGACATTACCTCTATGGGGTTCGTTGTATTATTTACATGGATCACAAGAGCCTGAGGTATTTGATGGATATGTCGAATCTGAATATACGACAGTGCTGGTGGTTAGATGTGGTGAAGGATTATGATTGCAGAATCCTTTATCACCCGGGGAGGGCTATTATGGTGGCCGATTCTCTTACCTCAATGCAGTCGTGGATCCGATTAGAGGCATATGTTTGAGGATGATTGTGATTACTCTGTTGTTGGAGCGGATTCGTGAGGCACATGTTGAGGCTATGAAGGAAGAGCACTGAATGAGCGGGAGTATTGTGTGTCAGGTGGCTACCTTCGATTATGATGATCGTGGATTTTTGACTCTGCATTGGCGAGTTTGGGTTCCTTATTGGGGTGGTGTGAGTCAGATTCTGATGGAGGAGGCTCGCAAATCAAGGTTCTCCATTCATCCCCAAGCAACGAAGATGTATAGGGATATTCGTCCTGATTATTGGTTGACCTGCATGAAGCGAGATGTGGATTGGTACGTGGAGTGGTGCTTGAATTATAGGAAAGTCAAGGCCAAGTATCTTTGCTTTCAACACAAAATTGGTTTACTTGCCTAACAACACGCCAAAACACACCACATGTTAACAACATCCTAACATACAAATGATACATATTATAATACATAGAATAGTGAGAAAACTCACTTAAGCAATTACCCAGAAAACTATGAATGATCCTACCAGCGAGTAGGTGCGCCAAACATGAAACAACCTATTATGAAATAACTGATCAATAACTAAGGAAATATGATAACAAATAGATAGATCCCTCATTAATCCTCATACACTGAAAGACTATAAAATAAGGATTAATCAAGACAGTCGGGAGGCATTATCATTTAAGTATATAGCTTTTTATGAAATCCAACAACCATGCTAACATGTCTATACGAAGATTTGCTATGGTTTAAGGATAATTGTTGCTCATGTTTCTTGGAGTGCGAGGGATGGTTGCAGGTGAAAAACCTCATGTGGGATCTATGTTGCATTTAGATAGATATACATCATTTGTTCTTTATGTTGTCAAGGTTTGATAAGGGTGTTGTAGGGTATGAACCCTTTCAATCTAGAGTTCACAACGCTCAAATATACATACATGAAGCCTTTAAATCTCGAGTCCACAACACTCGAAGATGCATGAAATTTCATTCTAGAAACACCCCCCGGGGGTTTCATATGCCTGAGATTTTTCAAGTAGTAAAACAAATATGCAAAGACTATAGATGTAACAATGTAAGAGGGAGTTATAACCCTACAATATTGGGATTTATTGGTTGAGGACAAAGATAAGACTTTCTTGTTGTTGAGAGGGTTGATTGTTTCTATGCCACATTTAAGTACTATGTGTATTAGAAACAATATCCTTAATGTGCATTTGTATTTTGTTATTATGGGTGTTATTGAGATTTTCAAACAATCGTGAATGTCATCAATTTTGTAACCATATTGTCGTTAAATTATGGTTTTTAGGAGTAAAGGAATGGTCATGAGACTTTATTCTCTTGGAAATTTTGATATGGATTGATGTCGAGGAGTTCCTTGGCGAGTTTCGACTAAGAGCATGTTTTGTAAAATTGCTAGTAGTAGGATAACACTGTTTACATGGACAATGACATTTCCGATAATTTGTACAATAATCAATAGTATATTGAATCTTTAATGTACAAAGTAAATATAATAGTTAATGGAGAAATTTTTATAGTCATAGTGAAAGAGGTCATGGGATGGACCCTCTTTCTAAACAAGGTGATGATCCTACCATTAGTGATCATGAGACAAGACACATGCTTTTAATGAACAATAATGAAGTTGAAACAAGAAGTACACCACCAAATAGGGAGAAATTAGACACGATATTCTCATGCAGCCAGTAGAATCATATTATCGTTTACTTAATTGTAAAATAATTGAGGAAACAATAGTTGGAAATAATTATATTTCTACAATGCTTGTGATTTCTTCTACCTAATAAGTTACTAAATATAATGACAATCTCCACATGTACATCGATGATGTTAAAGCTGTTTCCGAGAAGAGGACTCATGGGAGGTATTGAAGTTGGTATATGGATTATATATCTATTTATATTTCATGAGCGGGAAGTGAATAATAATGCACTTGGATTATAGGATTGTGCCACAAACATGAGGTGAATTTTCTTGATATTCAATAGATTAACATGTCATCTATGGACATTTCTACACTTAGGATGTGTAATTCCCCAAATAATGAACCAATCTAGTGATCAAACAATATCAATGTATCAAATAAGAATGAATCAAGAAGAAGAAGAAGCAATATTGATCAAAATTCACACGATTTTGTATTAATTGAAATCGTCATGTACAAATGATCTCACACAAACTAATGACCGAAAACAACTCTCTGAATCTATCAATCTAGGACACTATTTATAGGTCACACAAAGAACAAGTTTATAGCCGAAAACAAACTAGAGATCGAAAACAGAACGTTTTTGGTCCAACCAACCGAAAACCCACAAACAACCCATAGAAAGAGTAATAAAGCCTATAAAAATATATGCATAGCACAAACCAACAAAATAGGTTCTAATAGTCTCACCCTTGGTTTGATGCTAGCATGAAATCAAGGATTGTCGGCGAACATCACATCTGAGCTCCCCTTGGCTCCTGCCCACAAGCACTTGTTGATGATCTCAACAACCATGCCAGTAAACTCTTTAGCACTAACCTCCAAAATATAATTATTGACCATGATCTGATGCTCTACCAAGGTGCAGATATCGCGTACACCAAGCTATAGGAGATCCTTTGCTTTAAGAAGACGTATATTATTATTCTACAACTTGATGACTGTAGTGGTTGTGGCCTCATCAAATACCAGAATTCCATGTTCTGCAGAGAATCGTCATGTAACTGTGGAACAATATGAATCTTTACCATTTATTTGGTAGGAGGCCACATCACATTTTTTATGGTACGGTTGGTGCTGGGATCAATTATGCCATTGGTTTTCTTGACAAAATATTATGCAGTTGTCATCCCATCAAACTTTTTCTTTACTTGGTTCTCCAAAAGAGCTTGAAGTTATTTCCACGCGGATCGTTTGATAGGTTGTGAAAGGGAGCCTCAGCCAATTCTGTAAGATCAACTTAAGTCCATGAACTAATGTAATTTTGATGTGCATAATACTCCACATTTCCACTTTTCCTTTTGACCACCCAAATGTTCTTCTGATCATGAAATCCCCACACCATAATTCCTGACCTGTCTCCATGTTTGGCTTAGAACCGCTTTTTATCGAGCTCAGTAAAACTCAACAAGGGGTGATCACCACGAACATTCTTAGTAGAATTTTTCATGAAGAGAAATCCTCTTTTTCCCTGAGTCTTTGATTATTTTTGAGTTTGCTTCAGAATTACTCTCGGATCAGCTTGAGCAGGTTCTTTTTCAAAATGATCAACAATACGGGTCGTACTGACATGTTTAGGAGCATCTTGTGAATCTTGAGTTGCTTGGGCAGAAGCACTTTGGGAAGCCTCAGCTTCATGGTATTCATTGACTAATATTTTGAATTTGTCGCCAAATTCACTAATCAACTTGTTATTTAGATCGAAATATCCAACAGTTAAAGCGCCAAGGTTGAGCTGCAAGTCATAAATTTGTTTTGATTTTTGATAGTTTTCTTTTTCAAGTTCAGAAACTCTAAAGTCTAGAGTTCCAATCAAAACATCTTTTTCGATAAGCTTTTGATATAAGAAACCAATCTCTTCCTTGAGCTCAGAGATAAATGGCTCTTCACCCCATAACCCCCTGCACCAATGGATATCCCTTTGCCTCTGGGTGCAGGATCAACATCCTCTTGAGCTGAAAAACTGGTGAGGCACTCTGAGGCGGCATCATGCTTAGGTTGGGGTGGAGAGGAGCTACCAAGAGTTGACAAGCTCCCCGCTTCAAAAGAAGAATAAGCAAAACTGGTCCCTTCATCTAAAATTGTACCCTCAACATGAATTGGTTGGGATGTTTCGATGGTTGTGTGATAGGCTGTTGAACATGTTGAACTTGTTCCCTTACAAGCACTCCCAGCCTGGGATCAGCACGTCTACTTTACAAACATGACTGAGAGGCTTGAGATTCATCAAGATCACGATCCGATGGAGTAATAGTTGGAGTAAAAACTTCTTGGGGAGGAATCCTTGCAGTTGAATCTAGTTGAGCAATGAACTCATCCATCTATGCAGCTGATTGATATGGCGGCTTGAGAACATGGGTGTCTCCCTCTGTCTTAGTTGGAGAAATTCCACCATCATTAACATCATCAAAGAACGAACTGAGGTAATCATTACTCGGCTCGAAATCAAAGAAAAAAATCTTCATCATCAATAAAACTGGTGCATCACCCCTTCATTCATCCCATCTCCTTCATCATCATCATCATCATCATCATCATCATCATCATCATCACCATCATCCACATTAGTCATAGGTACATGTTCCTCTGCAACAATTGCTACAGGAGGAACAATGTCATATTTATGCTCAGAGACTGTAACATCTTCATTTTCATCATCAGAAGCATCTTCTAGTTCAGAAGCTTCTTTTATCTCAGCAAATTTCCCAAACTTCACCAAGGGATTTGTTCCCTTAAAGACAATCTTAGATCCTTTTCAGTTTTGGTTCATTAAATCGAATGTATTTGGACCCAAAGATTTCAAGTCCAAAGTATCACCATTTCTTTCCAAATCTAGATATTTAGCATTAAAGATCATCTGGACAAATCTTGGATACATCGAGAAAACATCCTTTTTCTTCCACTGCAAGTTACTCTTCATCTCATTCATCATTTATTTTGAAAAGTTGAAGTCTAGGTCTACGATCAGAGCAACTATAGCACCAGTAGAAGATATAGAAATCTCATCTACCCCTCCCTTTTTGCCTAAGATGCATATTATAAAAGCATGGGAAAGAAAACGCCAGTAAGGAGGGAGCAACATCTTCATTGTAGGGGGGGGGGTGGAGTTACTTCGTATCTCATCCTATCAAGAACCTCTCTAATCTGATCAATAGGTATTTCGACTGGAGAGCTTGGCTGATCCTCAAAGTGAAGAACTTCTCGGATGACTTGTTCTGAAACAACAATCTTTCTTCCTTGCACAATTGATTCCACGATGCCTTCTCCATCTGCTCCTTCTTTGTTGATAGAAGCTTTATCTCAGAATGCACATATTGACTCCTTATAAATGATGGGATTTAACTAAAAGGCGTGAGTAAGTCTACAGTTGTTAAATCCATGAACCATGGACTTAAACTCTTGATGGCTTTGAGGTGGATCAGGTAAGCATGCATCAATGTTGTGATTTTCAGAAAATTTCAAATCTGCCATTTGTCTGCATCAAACGAGCCAACTGAGAAGATCAAAAATTAAACAATTAAGACCAATTTTCTGAAAACATTGATTTCAATTAAATACAGTTGATTTTGGTCAACTAAAGTCAATTAGACTTCAATTTGATTTAAAATTGTTCAAAATTAGGTTGATTAAAGGATTTTCGTCCGAAAAATAATTTTCAACCAAAAACGGGTTTTCGGCCGAAATCGACTTCTTTTCCAGTTTTTCGTAAAACACCGTCAGAATCGCGTTTTTTCTTCATAAACCTGCAAAACTTGATCAAATCGAGTGAGAATCAGTTGTATGGAAGTCGCAAATCACTTACAATGAAAAATCGGGGTGCAATTTTTCGATTAAAACGATAAGGAATGATGAATCAATGATTTAGAGTTCTGACTGCAAACGTGAACAGGGGAGAGAGAAGAAGATTTTCAGTTGACAACTTGATAATGAGGGAGGTGGCCAAAAATTAGTTACTTTTATACCCCAAATAAGATTTTGGCCCATAACCTAAGACAATTTTCGGCCCATAACACCAAATCCTATAGGCTTATACCGAAAATCCATTTTTCTATTAAAAAAGAGACAATTTGAAGACTTAAAAAAATAAAATAAAAATAAAATCGAAAAATTTAAATTCAAACCAAAATTTTTCTTAAATTTTTAGAAATAAAAAATAAAATAAAATAAAATAACACTAACTACTCTTCACAATTATTTTTTTTAATGTTTTGGGATCAGAAGTTTTGACATAGTCTTAACTTGTTTTTCAGTACCTTCACCTTCATGAATAAATCTGTTCAATTGTCGGTATTATGGTCCACTTAGACACGAAAGATTTTTGACAATGTTGATAGAAAATAAAATGACAAGACATTGCTCCTGAATTCCTAAATGGACCATTTAGCTGATGATGACCAATGATATTTTTGTTCAATTAAATTAAGCAACAAGATTTACAGACAACCTATTTAAATGGTTCAATTTTAGATGTACTAGAACGTGTTTCCCCACTTCCTGATATACCCCAGTAATCAAGAACCTCTAAAGCCCTCCTTACTTTAGGTGAGTAGAAAATTATTATGAAAGAAATCAGATTTAGAAATGCATATGTTGTGCCCCAGGTCAGATCTCTTCCAATCACACAGAAGGGACACCATGTGACTAACACGGATAGAGAGGTTGAGATGTAGAATGTTGCATATGTTGTGTTCTAGGTTGGATTATTTCAATCACGCAGAGGAAACAACATATGACTAACATACATAAAGAATTGCATAGATAAGAAGGTGCATAGAGATACAGTTGCATATGTTGCTTTCCATGTCGGATCTCTTCCAATCACACAAAGGAACAACATATGACTGGAAAATAGAAAGCAAGAAAACAATTTTCTACATACTTACTTTATCAGAACCCCCACTCACCCTATCAGTACTGGAATTAAGGAAATAAATCCATAATCAATGAAATGTCAAGCCACATATCTAGATACATATAACTTTAATGTATCCTGCAGGTTCTCATGTTTATCTCACTGGTCAACCTATCCAAGCATCGTATTATCAGTCCAAATAGAACTATCTAAATCCATATTGTCAAGTCCATTCAATTGGCAATCTAAGTCTAGTCCTTTTGAACCTTTCGTGCCTACTAGCACATTGAACACATAGTCTAGAAAATTCAGATTCAATACCTTACACTTGTTGCAATGGCCTGTTATCACTTGTTCTTGGTATCACTTCCCAAAGGATCACCTACAAATGAAAAACATAAATACATATTTTTAGATTTTTTGGTTTTTAATTCTCCCCCTAAAATTGTGCAAAGGAGAGAAAAGAAAGGAAAATGAAAAATAAAATGCCAAATTTAAACTAAACTAAACTAATTAGTCTTCAAAACGGATCATTTTCAGAAAACCCACAAGCACATCGAAGCGAGCTTTATTGAAAGGTTTGGTGAACAAATCGGCCACATTATTATCAGTGTGGATCTGCTCCAAACAAATGAACGAGCGCTCATAATAGTCTCGTATAAAATGAACTTTGATATCGATGTGCTTGGTTTTGGAATGTTGGACTAGGTTTTTATAATTTTGGATGGCAACATCATTATCACAAAAGAAGGGAGTATTTAGAAAATTCAAACCATAATCCTGATGCTGATGTTGAATCCAGATAACTTGAGAACAACAAGTTGAGACAACAATGTATTCAAGATCATCCGTTAAGGTTGACACAATTTGTTGTTTCTTAGATTGCCATGACACCATCTGATTTCCTAAAAACTGGCACCTACCCGATGTTGACTTCATATCAAGATCACATCCTCCGTAATTGCTGTCAACAAATGCATATAAATCGAAATCAAGATTTTTAGGATACCAAAGACCCAGTTTAGGGGTACCCTTAAGATATCTAAAAATCCTTTTAACAGCAATTAAATGAGAAAGTTTAGGATTATCCTGATAATGAGCACATTGACATACAACAAACATGATATCAGGTCTGCTTGTAGTCAGATACATTAGAGAACCAATCATCGAGCAATATTCTATTGGATCAACGAATTCCATTTCTGGATCGGTAGTCAACATTGGTTTTTCAGCCATTGGATTCAAAATAGTTTTTTAGTCTTTAAAACCAAAATTTTCAAGAATGTCTTCGACATATTTGCCTTGATGTAATAAGATTCCATCCGAATCTTGTCGAACTTGTAGCACTTAGAACATGGTCATTTCACCCAACGAGCTCATCTCAAACCTTCTCTTCATAACATCCTCAAAATCTTTGCATAGCTCTGTGCTTGTCAACCCAAACATGATATCGTCAACATAGATCTGAACGATGATCAAGTCAGCATCCACATTCTTGATGAATAATGTCTGATCCGTTGTTCCCTTTGTATATATTCGTGCGCAAGCAAATGATTAGTGAGGGTTGCATACCAAGCTCTGGGAGCCTGATGTAACCCATATAGAGCCTTGTCCAGCTTGTAAACATGATTTGGAAACTTTGAATTGACAAACCCTAGAAGTTTATCAACATAAATTTCCTCCTTCAAAACTCCATACAAGAAGGCTATATTGACATCCATTTGATAGAATGTAAATCCCATGTACGAAGCATATGCTAGGAATATACGAATGGCTTCCAAACCTGCTATTGGTGCATATACTTTTGTGTAATCAAGAGCCTCTATTTGCCTGAATCCGCGAACAATTAACCGAACTTAATTACGCACAATAACCCCACAATCATTTTGCTTATTTCTGAAAACCCAACATGTGTCCAAAGATTTCTTTCCTTTCGGTAACTCAACAAGCTTCCACACTCCTTATTTTTGAAATTGATTTAGTTCTTCATGCATCGCATCTACCCAACTTGGTTCATTTAAAGCCATGACGAGACTCTTGGGCTCGATCTGAGATACGAAGCAAGAGTAGAGACATGAATTAACATCTCTAATTTGAGTTCTCATTTTAACTCTGTCGGCCAAGGGACCAATGAAATTTTAGATCGGATCATCGCGTTGAGTTCTGGTAGGAATTTCATGGCTGATGTCATTGATTGAGACAGGAAGGTTGTTGATGTTGATGAATCTGTCTTCATCCGAATCACTCTCCTCAGTCGATCTAGGACCGTGAGAGGTACTTGCAACATACTCTTTTAAATTAGGTTAAGGAAAGAGAAGCTCCATTAATGATGGAGTGGCAGTGGAAAAATATATTGTCATGAATTCTCGTTCTGTAGGGGAAAGTGGAGTATCTTCAACATCAGAACTGATTCTTTGACTTGGTGAGATCGAGGAAGTACTCGAAGTGGCTTCATCCACTAAAGGAGAC